TCGATGTCCTCTTGAATACTAAGCAATGGTCTAAACCTCTATGCCCCTCGGTTTCTATGGCCTTTCGATTGATTCCAGCATAGTAACTTCACAAGTTAGTCAAGATTCTAGTGCTCTTAAAATGGGAAACATCTCCTTGCAGGGCATGTTCTGTAACCGCGACATTATCTGGTTTTCGAAGTTTGAAGGGATGTGTTTTTTGGGGGTTTGTATTGCGTTTCGGACCAAGGTAGATGAATGCGGTGTCTGGTGTTTTCCAAACTGCTGAGCAATGGTTTAACCGTTAGCCCATACCTCTAGGTGTCAACGGTCGATACTTACAGTCCCCTTATTTTTGTATGTACTCTTCTTACTCGTACAGTACTTGTATTTATGAGCTGATATTCATAAGTACATCTGGGAATGTGATTAATGTTCAAATTGCTCAAAGCATTCACTACCCTATCTAAAATATAACGAAATAAACATGTTAATAGGAATTGACATAAAAAGAACAGAAATTAGTGAAACTCTTTGTTCGAGCTTTAATATTATGGGCAAAAAAAATTACCAGTCAAGGGTGTTAAAGAGATGCCTAGAGAAAACGGTTAATTGTTCTCTAAGGCAACGGCATAAAATCTTTAACGAATGCCTCGCTTCTAACGAACAATGACCGCAAAAGCGTTAATTGTATTACTGTAGAAATTATTAAGATGATTTGAAGAACGAAGGGTAATTATCATTTACATAAAATTATGTATTATCTTTAATTATTATTACTATAGATCTTGTCAATTAATTTACTGACCTTCAGAGTAATACATGCCTCATCTCAAATAACTACTTAATAAGCATTTGAATTCATGAAACTATTAAATATTGTTGTTCCATATTAAAATGAAAAAAATATATAACGCTAAAGTGACAGAATTTCAATTATTATTTCGATATATTGGAATAATAATGTTCCTAGTGTGTTCTTCTGTGTTAATTCATATCCGGTGGATGCGCTGGGTTTTAGATATTAATTCTATATCCTACTCCTCATCGAATACCTGGGCTGTCTTTAATAATTATGTACATCGAAATTGTAAGTCAATTTAGTCAAATAACATCATTAAAGACACTCCTCCTCAATTAATTCTCAATACGGCTGAACAGATACAGTTCAAGATTAAGACCAATCTTACATGTTGCTCCTGATTCAGAATCGGCTTATTTACCCTACTAAGGAATAGGCCTAGGTTACTGTTCGCAAATTGTTAAAGATGGTCGGTTGCTCGAGTTTTCGAGAAATGCGAAGATTGATCCGAGATAGGAAGATGTAAAGGTAAACGTCCAACCAGTCTCTGGGCTGAAGACATTATGATGATGATGATTGTATTATATGCACTTAACGTACACATATTCAAAACTCCGTGAGCATTTGGCTGTAACAGAAAATGTCACGTAGTGCACTAAATAGGTACTCTTCTCTTTTGTGGAAGTGGGAGTAATCGATTTTAACATCACTTGCATCATACATTTTAAAAAGATATAAAGAACATCTGTGGGATTGCGGAATCATAAATAAATTACTTATTAGACTGTCATTTATTCAAAATACGTTCTTTCGCAATGACAGATATTCAGCTGTTCTGCATTTTGTTTATATAGAAATGTCGCTTAATAGGACATCACAATTATCACGCCTGTCACTCGACAAAAGTCGTCTGGTTGCTAGGAGACACGTCGCATGTTTCGTTTTAGCACTCGCTTCGAAATAGTTGATTGAGTATTGGCAATTCAATATTGAAAAGCAAAAATTTTCGCGTAGGTAGAGTAGAACTGCTCCTGGTTGAAGCTATCAAATGCAACAACATTTTCCACTCGCTTCATAGCAATTCCCAATTCTCAATCGTCTTAAGTACTTACTTAAGCTATAGCTAACCGTTTATGCAATATAACATACGCTCTAGCTCATTTGTCCGTTGACATGTGAGGCAATACTAAACAAAACGAAGTATTTGTGAACAGTGGTCCCATCTAGACATCATTCCCTGCCTCTTTGTATGTTGCACTTCTAATATGTCTCTTGCTAGCCCTTCATGCTCCATAAAGTATTCTACCATTATACACATACCTCTCCTGTTTCTAACATTGACCTCCATAGCGCTTTCTGTTCTCCTGCTATTTCCAATACATACTCATTTCTATCCCTTTGTATACACGGTATTGTCATCATCTCCTGTAATGCAATGTTACATATCAAACGCTTCTAAAATGGGATGCCATTCAAGTAGTTGGGCTTTAGTGATATTGAAAATAAACTCATGAAAACTAGCAAAATCATAGATTGCTTAAACGACACTACTTATAACTATAAACACAAAATAAAGATTATGTAAAAGTCCCATAAGACCAATTATGACCTACATGACTAGGACTAGACCTAACGGAGTTAAAACAAAGCGGGTATTAGAAACAGTAGATGTGAAGGTATTTCGCAAAAACTCTGTACGATAGAGAAAGGAGTAGACGTATAGAGGACTATGTGAAGTGGAAAATATTAGAGATTGGACATACAACAGGATAATAGAACGGAATGTACACATCTGGCATGACAGAAAATTAAAGAAGAATTTAGGGATAGTGAAAGAAGCGGACATAGAAAAGGACTATATGAAGTGGACAATATTAGAGATTGGATATACAATAGGATGAAAGAGTGGAATACACATTTGGCAAAACAGAAAGTTAGAGAAGAAGCTAGAGATAATTCGCCTTTACCAAAAAGTTAGTGGACAGAGAATGAGGCATAGTCGATGAAGAACAGGCTTCAGGCCCGAGTAGAAGAAGAATGAGGGAAAAGAATGTTGTGTTATTTATTGTTGTAAATATCTTCGTCTACTATCCATGTATTCAATATCTAACATTTAATTGTACTTTTAATTTAATAATTTTAGAAACAAATGTTTCTTTGTTTCATTATCACATGCAAAGAGCGTTTTGATTTGAAAAATCACTAATAATACGTATGCATGTAGTATTTCAAGAAATAATAACAAAATTTTTTGATTTGAACTATTATTATTGATCGCGTGGGGCAAAGTGTATGCGATTATTTCGGGACGCCCTGTATAAAAAGCGATATTCGTTTATCGTCAATTCATCATCATCATCATAAGGTCGTCAGTATCAAGACCGGTCGGACAAGTACCTCCACTCCTTCCTATCCTGAGCTAATATTCGCATTTTCCTAAAACAAGAACATCCCTAACTATTTGCGATCAGTAGTCTAATCTAGATCTACCTCTACTCCTCTTAACTTCTGTTTCTGCCTCTAATATGTCTCTGACTAGACCTTTATGCCTGAGAAGGTGTCCTACCAACCTATCGCGCTAACTTTTTATTGACTTCCATCCGTTTAAGTCCTCCGTTCTTCTATTCCTTCTAATACCTCTTCATTACTAAACTTCCTTTTCCACGATATCTTCATCATTTGCCTGTAACACCACTTTTCGAACGCTTCTAACCTTTTATTTTCGGCCGCTCCTACCGGCCATGTTTCGCATCCTTACAGCGCCCCGCTTCAAACATACACCTTTAACAATCTCTTACGAATTTCTAAATTAACCGTTCGCGAGCATAGAAATGACTTCTTTTTATTAAAGGCTATACAACCCTGCGCTATCCTCTGCTTTATATCCCTACTATTCCTTCTGTCTTGACTTATCTGACTTCCTAGATACCTAAAATCAGCCACTTCTTTTGATTTTTCGTCTCCTATATGGATAAATATATGCGTTTTTAATTGAAAGTCCGTCTAAACAAAGACATGACGACATACCTAATGCCGGGTACTGGTTTATCCGGTACCGGGTAAAATCACCCGGTAATTTATACCAAGTTCTGGTTCACTTTCTTGAATAGATTGATATTTACTAGAGAATTTTCCATTTTTCATTTGTATCATTTGAAATAAATACTAATTATTGTTATCAGTAAATATCAAAAGATGGCGATATTGGGTATAGTCTGATACTAGTAAGTATTTATTGACAAAAGAACAAATAAACGTACTCAAAGCCTACCATGTGTTCAGTGTAGGTAGGAATATTAATAAACAAGACCGTTTGTCGTCGTCGTCTTCGTGGTCGTCGTCAAGTGAGCGAGCATCTATTGTCCGTTAGCTACGATTTCCTTAGATCACCTGCTTCCTCTTGCAAATTATACGGCATGGCCGACGTCGTAAAGCACACCACGTGCTCAACAAACTCTTTGTTCTCAGATGCATGTTGATGATGACAGACATTAGCGTTCTATTCGACGAGAGAGATGACACAGTTAAGTTCGAAAATATTTGCGGCACGACTGACACAGTTCGGCTTTAGGGAAATGTTCTTGTTTCCGTCGTGAACAGTATCTCTCTTTGTGACCATGACGACGAATGCGATCGTACCATATGATTTGTAAAAGTTGTCATACACACAAACATGCCTGTAGTATGTATATGCATCGGCAAAAGGAATCTCCGGATTGTGTTCCAATTTTTGAACGAATGGTCTTAATCCATTAGCAAGTTTTTCAGATGTCCAATTTTAAAATTCAATTAATGGCATCGGGCTTTCGTTCCGCTTCATTCTTCAGCTTTCTGGCAGATACATAAACGTCTAATATATGAGGTGGCTAATGTATGAAGGTCAATGCTTGATAAATTAATGAACGAAACTGATTATTTTAGCTTTCAAATGAACCTTTTGACAATTGATATCTCTAGGAAGGAAAATGATTAGAGTAGAGTCATTTGGTACTAAAGAATACATGGAGATAGTTCGAAATATTGAAGAATTACTAAGTACAAGGTGTCCAGATTTTTTTTTGTTTTCGTGGATAAGGAGAAATCTTCAAAAGACACACAGCCGTTCGTAGGACTAGGTAGTGTCGGATTCTCGGGGAAGATGTCCTCGGACCTACCNGTAAATTTGTGATAAGCGCTGTTGACTTAACATATTTATAATAGTCAACGTTCTTCTTTTCAGGTACATCCTGTCACTAGCGCTTGCAGATTTACTTGTAATTGTGACCAGCATTCCTTTTACATCGATCGTTTACACCTTAGAGTCGTGGCCTTGGGGTGAACTGATATGCAAAATATCCGAAACTGCGAAGGACATTTCTGTTGGAGTCTCCGTTTTTACACTAACAGCACTGTCAGCTGACAGATTTTTCGCCATTGTAGACCCCATGAAGAAGTTACACGCCAATAGTAAGTTTTATCTTTTTTTAATAACCTAATTATTAATTAATTAATCAATAAATTCTCGGTCAGCACTTTATCGATACTATCAGACATGAATTGCGATTTCGGACTTATTTTTTACCTGAGGACGCCACAGAAATTCGGACAAACTTCTTACCAACCAAAGCTGTTGTCCGTTAATTATGCGAGATTCATAAATAGGCACATACAGAGAAGTAAACGCCATCTGTAGAGATCCGCCAAAATTACTGCGTCTTTAAATTAATTGACATTCCACGCCCTTAAATAAATTATAAGTAAGTTCCGCTTTAAGAGCAGTTAATTGTAAAGCCACATAAATTCTCCAGAAACTATAAAATCCCACATTTTAACTGTTTGCAAACAGTAATTTAATTTCCATCTTTCTCTACCCCTATATACTCCTGCTTCTACTTCTTTAACTAACTTTCCACGTCTCAGAGGTCTTTCCTTTTCCATGTTGAGTTTCATCGTACGTTTCCAATATATTCTCGTCTCTAGCCTTTTCTGTCCACAGTTTTGTCTTCATACGCCTATAACATCACATCTCAATCGTTTAATATAACTTTTTCATATTTAATACATAAGAAATTGGATTCAAGCTCCCAACTAAACACGTACTTATTTAGTTAAAGCAAAATAAACTTAAAAATTTATAGTTATTATTATTTTAAATAGAAATTAAAATTATACAACAAATGTGAAAATTATTGTCTTCAAGATAACATATAATATGCTGCTAGTCCTATAAATATAACTGTCTAAAATGAGGAATTTTACAAAATTCGTCGCGTTTCGCAAGAAAATTGAATTCTATTTTCTTGTTCACTGAATTAGAAGCGAAATTTGAAGATTACGACCCGCAAATAAATCGAGAACAACAGAAAGTAGGAGAAGGCAACAGGTCTGATATGATAAACAATCTTACATATATGTTACATGAGCGTAGCAGAAAATTACCTAACAGTAAAAAATGTTTACTGGGTATCTACACCAGCGATATACTGCCCGCAATTTGATATAAATCAACTTGTTATTACAGAGATACTTCGATTTGTTCGATGACGTATATCGAAACTACCCACCTGATTCTTTAGTTACTGAAGAAACCCCAACAGTAGTCTCCCCTTACATCAAAGTAATATATTAAATGTGTGTCGCATAGAATTGGTCGAATTTTGATAAAGAAAAGCAACAAAACCATTCTTATTCATTCTGACCAAAAAAATTCAAAACACNGCTTTATATCCCTACTATTCCTTCTGTCTTGACTTATCTGACTTCCTAGATACCTAAAATCAGCCACTTCTTTTGATTTTTCGTCTCCTATCTTTATATATATATATACGCTCTTTCCCTACGTTTTCTTTCCTCGCATACCAGTATTTTTGTTTTACTTTTATTTATTTTCATACAATACGCTTTTGCCAATACCGCTTCAATTTTATTTAAAGTTATCTCTAACTCGTCCTTGCTAGATGCAAATACTGCTATATCAACTGCAAATCTAAGCATACTAATCTTTTACCCCTGTATATCTATCCCTACAGTTGTATTGTCTTTAATGATGTTGATAGCGTCTTCGATGTATAGATTAGAAGTAGCGGTGACAATGTGCACCCCTGTCTGACTCCCTTCCTAATATTTACTTCTCTACGTTATACAACAAACTAAGTATCACTCTTCTATTATCGTAAATTACCTAAGAATATTTATATTTACTTCCTATATACCTATACTTCCATACGTCGATCACCGTCTGCTTATCACTTTTTTGTTTTCAACGCTACTAGTTTTTGTTTAAATGGAATTTTACTCGTGGGTAATTCTGTTGAAACCATCTGATTTTGATGAAGGTTGATTTCTACTAAGTACCTAAGAAGAGCGGTATTAAAACTATTTCAAACAAGAAGCGAAACGCCACCTGACGGGTTACACAATTCAATGATCTTGGGAATGCTAGCCCTCGAGGGATTCGTGCTACTGCAATTAACGCTATTAACTTCACACAACAGTGAACTTCAAACAATTTCTCTTAAGCGTTCGAAATCTTGGAAGATTTAGCCGCATTATTGATTTCTATTTGAGCGTGTCACCAAACAATGCTTCTAGGTATTGTGCATCTCTCTTTTGTACATTACTTTTAAGTTTTGGTTAATTACTTTAGAAAAAAAGTGAATTGTCTTCTTTTTGAACCATTTTACCCTATTTAATACAGAGGTCAGTACGTAATATGTACATATTACATGCCTAGCTACCTAATCGATACAAAATCACTTGCATTCAGTTAATATTTTTATTTTATTTACGTAAATAATTTTTTGTTTTGCAACTCTGCGTAGCTCTCGTTATTGATAAACAGTAAATTTGTGATAAGCGCTGTTGACTTAACATATTTACGAGGGTGGATTGATAAGTTTCCGGCCTAACCAAGAGATGACGCCACTAGGCCTACCTTGAGGTGACATTCTATAGTACCATCCTTGGATAGCTTGTAGCTATAGTTTCAGCCCGATCTCCTTGCTAG